TCTGACTCGCAGAGGTTATACCAGCAAAGGCCGCCCTAACCCCATTACTGCGGTTACAGTACAAACATGGAGAGTGTTATCCTGTAAAGCTAAACATTGCTTCCAGCCCTCTCCATTGCTGGGTTAAGATTAGGCTCTGGGCAGTAAAAAGCACTAAAGACGAACAAAAATAGAAACCCTTCAAGTTATTTCTGAAGTGCTTTCGGGAGATATGATGGCAAAGGCAAATTCAGAGCCCACTAAAGGACGGCAGTGTCTCTTAGGTGCCTAGAAGCTCTCAAAAACGTGGCCCTCTGCGCACACTTTATCTGCCACCTCCTATCAGCCTCTCTAACACGATAAACAGGGGCTAGTAGCGCCAGTGTTAACAGCCTCGCTTTTCTCCTTTTTGCTTTAATGGTGAAAGCTCACTTTTCAGAAGGAGCATGAAAAATTCCCACATATTTTTGCCTGGAGCCCTCACAGTAGTAGAAAACCAGAATCAATGTCATGGATTTAAAATATCTTTATTTAGAGCAGTTTAGGGGTTAGACTCTTTGTTTATTTGCACTTTGTTTTGGAGCAGAGGGATGCATGACATTTCCATTCTGCGTGCAGGACGCTGACAGGAGCAAAAAGCGGAGAGGGAGTCCTGCCTGTGGCAAGATTTCTGCAGTTTCTATACGGTCCTTGTCTTTGATCTCTTCTTACATGTCTTGGAGGGAGAATTTGCATGACTTTCCTCTCTTTTTCCCTTTCCCTGTGGTGTTTCAAACCAGACACTTGGTTGACATTGTACCATGGCACTTAGCAGCACACGTGCTCTAATGCTGTTATTTTTCACCAGCAAGCTGTTCCACTTTATACAACACTTAACTAACAATTTCACAGCCATTACCAGCCTGCAGTAATGACATGGGCTGAAAGCTAAGCGCTAACTGCTTGTAAACTACAAAAACCGGGGAGATACTAAGACAGTTTGATAAATGAAAAAGGACATTGCCTGCATTTTAATTGGTTGAGTTGAAGCCTCTTTTATCACTAGCATAAACATGGTGTTTAGAGGGTCAGGAGATAGAATTGGGAATCACTGTCTTTATGCAGTTAGGAAATGTATTTGTTTGATTTCAGGTGTGATGTACGAATTCTGGGAGTTCTGTCTACATCTTTTTTTTCTCCCTTCCCTGGCTTTGCACCCTGTCAACACTGACGGGTTTCAGGGGTTGAGGTCTCCAAAGGGCTTGCCTTCTATGAGTCATTTGTGAAGGGGGAACTGCTTACAAGTCTTGGAGCAGCATGCAGGATAAATCACAACCTGTGGCACGTTTGTACCAAACAGCTATGGAAATGTTTAGTTAAACAAGCATCCTTGTTTAAAAAAAAAAGTATTACACATGATTGAAATGTTAAATAAATCTTTTCTTGCCTTCTTTTTTCCAAAGTATAACCTGACCCAAAGTAAAGTGTTTGGGAGAAAATACTCAAGCAACTTTCCTTCCTGCTGGCCCACCACACTATTTTAACCAAATGTACAGTATGTTGTACTTAGGCTGTTAATTGTGAGCAAACATATGAAAAAGCTTTGTCATAGGCCTCTTTGCATGTTGAACTGAGAAAGCATAGTAGGCTGAACCATGATTGAACCTCAAGGCTGCAGCTCATGAGCCCTCTCAAGCAGTGGAAGGGCTGAGCCCCAGCTTGCCCTATGACAGCCAGGCAATTCAATAAGGCAGATTTGCAAGGAAGTAATGGATCCCTGACAGCAGTCGTAGTGTTTTCATGTCAAGCATCTTCAGATTTTAAGCTGCTCACAAATAATATACCTTCAGTTATTATTAACCCTCTTTCATCCAGGTCATTCTTGGGTAATTGCCAAATGCTACAGCCATGGTAAATTGGGTGAATACAATTGTGCAGTTCACCAATTGTAGCAAACACAGCATAAGACACCCCGAAGAAGAAGCTTTTCCTGGGATCATGAAATTGAAGCTTTTGTGCTAATGATAGAAGTACATTTGACTGACTCTTCTCAAAAGAGTTACTAACCTCTAATTCTGTAGAAAACAGCAATCTTATTCTGTTACAGTTTTCAGTAAAATTAGAGGTTTGGGACTTTAATAGATGACTAAATTAGATCTTATCAAAAACTCTTCTAGGAAATCTTGATCCTTAGACTGCAATTACTCCAAGGAGCATATGCAAGAATCTGCATTTGTTTTGAAACATTAGAAATCAGTGCTAGATGGCACTTTGTCACCGGGTAATGTGAATGTCAAGGATAAACAAACTCAACTTGTCTTTCTGTTTTTGTGTCCATTTTGCTGGTTTGCTGCATCACTCTGGCATTTAACGGAATCCAGACAGAAAGTAAGAGGATGGTATCAGTTACTGTCTCTGCGTTTGCACACTTACTTTTGATCTGTCTATATTACTTTTTAAGATGGAAGTGAGAAATTTCCTCAATTTTTAGTGAGTGGCTGTTTACTTAGCACAACTGAGTCCTTGGGTTGCATTCTCATTTACAGTAAAGCCATTGCATACAGTGCAAGCTAGAATGTAGTGTGCTCTCACACTGCTTTTTTCTTTAACTCCTCCCAATTTTACTAATAAAGCATATAAAACATAGTTGACATCTAGTCAAAATCATGTGTTGTATGTTTTTACATAGTAATTATATCGTGCCCTCAACTTTGAACCACAGGAAAGTGGTCGTTTTGAAGTGAGGCTCCCATCTGGTTTTTTTTGGATTTCCAGGACTTGTAATTTTTTTTTTGCCTAGAAATCTTGTCCAGGAGACTTCAAGGGCTTAAAGTCTTTATCCAGGATTTCCAGATGTCTCACAGCAGAATTGGTCTTGCTGCAGGTGCCCCAAAGAGGTTGCATAACATGCAGGAATCCTAGATATATTCAAAGGCATATGCAGACCATGGGGTAGCACATCACATACTCGTCAGATCTACTGTGCACGTGTGCTACACCTAGGTTTTTCAAAAGTCACCTGTGGTGCTGGACTTAAGGCACATGCTCAAAGTGGGTGCAGCTTTGTGAAATGAAAACCCATGCTCACTCATCCCCATGCAAGCAGGTTCTGGCTGGGGGTGAAACAGCCGTCCTGTGCTGGAGCTGAGCCCAGGGGGCTGGCTCTCTTAAGGCAGTTGACTTTTCAAATATATATGCTCTACGAGGTGGCCTGGATGCCATGCTGGGATCTTTGGACCAGCTGTAATGTCCTACTAGAAAGAGAGCAGCCGCACTGGAGAGCTAGAGGTGTGTGTCCTCAACCACAGCTGGCTGAGCCGGGATTGCCCTGCGAAGTGGAAATCATTTTTCTTTCTGCATTGGTCTTAGTTGACACCCATCAATTATCCTTTCTTGAGGCAGAAAAGAAAGGCTGGAGTGGATATGGTCTGGGAGTAGCTGGAGATGTGTGAAAAATATTTCATCCAGACTCTGGTCTTTTCTGACTCCCGTTCTCTACCTACCATACCAGATATACAATTTAGTTTCTGCTCCTCTTTGACCATTGGTCCCTCTTCCTGAGAGATATTCATGGTCTAGGAGCAATAACCATATCCTGTTTAAGATACATTTTGGGAAACTGGCATAGAAGAGCCTTGGCACAAATTGGCAGCCCTTCACGTACATTCTTCAGGAGTGCTAAGGAAATGACAGCAACTGCCTTTGAGCTAGCAAAGAAAAAATTATATGCAGTTCTTTTGGTCCAAGATAGGTGAAGGAATCTTTTGTCTTTTTATTCTGAGAAAGTCTATGTGGATGTTTTCCTTCAAGTTCACAGGCAATTTCATGCAGAGGCAGAACCTATAGTTCTTGTTTCACTGATATTAGCATCGCCACACAGTAGCAGCTGTTTATACAAAAAATCACATACCTTTTTTTTCAGAATTGAGAGCCTGCCATAACACTGAATAGATTCTGTGTATGAGATTTTAAGCAAATATAATTAAGCTGTCATTTCCCGACAGCTCATTTATGAGGTTGTTTGACCGCACAGGACTTTTTTGGGGGTTTGTAAACATATTTGGAAACCAAAAGTTAACAACACCAGAAACTCCTCATTCAGTAAACTGACCAGCCAACATTACATAGCTATGGAATAATTCACTAATGCCTTAAGATACACGTTTAAATATTTAGTTAAAGAAAGGGAGAGAAAGCATCTGCAAAGAGGAAATAAAATGAATTTTTAGAAATATGTGTACTGTTCCTATTCTCCACTAGTAACTCAAACCTGGACGTACTGTGCTAATATATGAGAACCAGAAATAGTCAATAGCAGCCAGTCTAGTCATCAAGACTGTAAAGCTTTGTCAGGCAGCTTTTCTTGCTGCTTAATCTTGTGCATGGAAATAGAGCCCTTGAACTGCAAAGAAACCACTCACTTTTGGAAGACTAAGCACGTGCAAAACTATTTTTAGGATCAGAGCCTGTAGAACAGTTACACACAGCAGTACTGAAAGAAAATGGAGAAATGTTATGGACTCAAATAGTGAAATTTGGAGCAAAGATATGAAACGTCTTCAGTTTGAGTAATTGAGACTGATGTTGGGGAAAAAAAATCAAGGTAGACTGTGTGCATATCCTGAGACCTAGGGAAGGTTTTCAGCTCCTGACTCCAGATACAAACTCCAGCAAAAAACTGACTTAATTCTGGGACAAATGTGGTACATTTCTCCCCAGTATGATGATTTCTAGGCAAAAGAGAGCCTTAATGTGCTCGGTGGTGCCCACGGTCTCAATGCTGGAAGAGCAGGGGTGAGGAGCATGCTCCAGAGCGTATCTACTCTGCAATTTAGACGTGACTACAATTGTAATTACCATTAGTTCAATATGATTTTTATCTAGACATCATTTCTTTAAAATATGTTAACTCCCTCATCTCTTTTCCTTGTAATACTGTCAAATTCTAATGAGTGGTAGCATTTTCTGTGGGTCAATGAGCAAATGATGAAGAAGCTGATGTTTTGTGTCTAATTGGTGACATATCCTCTTCTTCCTCTTAGGGCAAAGGTGAAGAAAGGAGTGAATATTTTCAGCGTACGAGCCAGCAGCCCATACTTATGGGACATCAGAGAGAACATGGATTACACTGGGAAATATGCACCAGCTGTTATTGTTTGCCAGAGGAAATCTGCCATCTCTGAAAACAGGTAGGCCATTTCCAGCAGTCTGTCTTTTAATAACTGACGGTGGGTTTTCTTTTTCAAAGCGTTTTGCTATTATTTTAATTAATTTTATTATAGTATCTAAGTATGTACCATGAGTAGATTTTTGGAAAAGCTGGGGCTGTCTTTAGTGCATTGCTAACTCTACCACATGTGTTTTAAACAAAAATGTTATTCAATCTTGATATCCAAGTGAAGTGAAAACTAACAGGAAATATTACTGTCACAGAATATTCAGAAGAACATGTTTCACATCTTTGAATTTAGTTCTGACTAGTTTAATCTCTTCAAATTATTTGCTGCCCGGTGTTATAGCAGGCGTTTTGTTAATTATTGGGAGAGGGGTTTGATCCTAAGCTTTCCAGAGGAAACTAAAATATATTCCATGTATCAAACCCACATTTCTGTTAGTGAGTTTTATATGAATTTTTAATCTGCAGTAGAAAATAGATTTTTGTTCTTACATTCCCGTTGTGCAATCACTTACATAGAACATTGACCCTCCTGAACAGCTCTCATCTGGCAGCTGCATGTTCCTCTTCTAATCACAGCTGATTACTGTAAAGAATATTTTTTATATTATTTGCTGCTTCTTGTCCATTGTTTCTGGAGGCAAGTGCATATTTATAAGGATCTGACAGTCTGTATATGTATTGTCTTTGGCATCATTGTTAGAAAACTCACCTTATAACATTGGAGCTCCAATTTTGCTCTGTTTTACTGGTTAAATTTTACAAAATCTTACAGGCTTTGGGGATTCGCTATGGGATTTAAAGTTTTTAAATAAAAACTCTCTGAGCCTAATAACAAGGAAGCCTCATGTCTTTGCAGTCTGGGAGGAGGAAGAAAAGAGAGGAAGGGAAGAACTTCCTTTCATAAGCAGCATATAAATCACTTTCTCCTTATTGCAATTCAGTTTCTACACAATTTCCCTGATACAGTATCCTAACTGTTCTGTATCATCTAAACTGAATGTTGCCTCATACCTAACTGAATTTTACTGGTCAAAGAAGCAATGCATATATCTGTCCAAGGTCATAGCTGTTTACTTTCTACAAGAACCTGTCAGACAGATTCTTTAAAATCCCAGTTCAAAGCTATTTGAAGACAGTGTGAGTATTTCCATTGACTGAAATGGGCACTGGATCAGAATCAGTGATTATTTTAACAGGCAGGTTTCTGTCACACTTTAGCTTGTTGGGTCTGTGCAGTGCATTTACCTGATTTCTCCTCCTCATCGGGAAAATGTAGTGCAGCATCATGGGTGAATTGAAGCTTGGCGACTTATTTCACTTCACTATTTATTACTCAGTATCAGGCTTTCAAAATGACCCGCTTTTTTTTTTTCTTCATGCAGTGGTTGTTGTTGCTGTGTGCTTTCATATGCTCGGTATAAACATGGCTTCAGGTTTATTAAAAGAAATGTGAGCTGGTATATAATTTCAATTTTACTGAAAAGAAAATCCGGAGAAGACTCTGCATATATGTAACTCATGACTTTTGTTTTGACTTATTCCATCTGAGTTCCCTCAGTTGAGACTTCATGTTTTTTCACTTCTGAAAATTTCTAGTTCATTGTTTGCAAACAAACGTAAAATATTTGCAATGTATTATTCAGTATGTTGTTTTCCTCATTAAATTTACTCACATCTATTTTGCTATTCGTTTTAAGTACTAAGATCAAGCATTATATGGGACGAGACTGTGCTCAGTACTTTTTTGGGAAATAATTTTTCTTTATCTAATATGTTTGCTGTCACTAGACATGCACAATGACTAACAGTTAAATATTGATGTCTCTTACCAAATTGTTTGCCTCCATAGTTCGTTTAGAAATTCTGCAAACTCTATTTGCATATTGTTTAGTTACACTTAAAAATCAGAGATCTGATCACATGAATGCAAAGGTGGCAATGTTAATTAACTAGAGATTCAGTACTTTTGTGTTTCTGATGGTTTTACATGGATCAGGAAATAGTGCTAATAAAGCTAACTTACTGTGACAGGTGTAATTTCACGGATTAAGGAGGCACTTGGGCAAGTGACAAACTTAAACAGGATGCCTGAGCATTTCTTTATCTGAGTTTGAAATATATCACTCATTTTATCTGGAGAGGTTTTGGCACTGAAAGCTTATCATAACAGGATTAACATATAAATATTATCACAGCCAGCAGGGTGTTTTAGAATGAATATTAACAGCAAATATTATGAGTTTGTATGAGAATAACTAATTAAGCCCATCTGTCAAATATGATTTGAAGTTCTCAGTGCCTTGCTTATTATGGGCCTGTGACAGTGTTCCAGATTAATGATGAAGCAATTATAGAGTTCTCCCCGATTCTTCTGATTTCATTCTCAGACAATAATAATTTTGTAACACACTAAAACCTGACCCATGAGATTGTTAGATGAGCTTAATACTTGTAGCATCTGTACAGATCTTCTGTTCTTCTCTGAGAACCATCTATCTTTTGTCTATACTTCCACGTAAACCACAAAAACAAACCAGGAATTGTGTGTTGTGAATTAATCAGTTGCTCAGAATTGTTGTGACTTGGGAAACATTTAAACCCCGATTGAGCCGAGGGGTCCCATTGTGTGCCATCCTTTTTTTTTTTTTCCTTTTGGAAGTTGTTTGAGCTTTCTTTTTCTTAGTTCCTCATGTGAGGATGCAAGTAGAATGGCAGTAGAGGGTGAGGTTAAAAGAATATTGCATTTCAGGAAAGTTTTACTGTTTTAGTTTTGTTTGTCAGCGTATCTGAATTTGAGCATCTCTACTGTGCAAGCAATGATTGATAAGAAGGAGGAGAGTGCCCAAAAGTGGAAGATGTGGATTCCTTTCTGTGCTTCTCCTGTACTTCCCATTTGACTGGCCAGAGTGGGATGGATTTGAAAATTTTTAAGGCGGAAAATGCAAATGTATTGAGTTTTCCAAATATGCCTAGCAACCAAACTGTTAATGACTTGAGAGGGAGGTAGGTATCTGAGAAGTTTTCAAGGACCTCAGTTTCTCATCTGTAAAATGTGGTTGAGAGCACTTTCCTATATTAAGAGCTGTTGTGGAGACATTAAGCAAGGTGCTCTGATATGATGCTAATAGGGATCACACTAGTATTATCCTCTTAAAATGTTTTATTCATGTTTAGATTTTTGGGTGCAGAATGTTTGTTCTTCCATTGGAGAATACAGTATTGATTTCCATGCTTATGGCAGGAATGAGACTACTCATCCATGCAAGTGCAAAACAGTTATAAACTCAGACATCTCCGAGTAGAACCCTGATGTCTGGATCTGACTGTTCACCAACTCTGCACGGCCATTTTCTCTTCCCATCCTTATTGTTGGAAATATTATAAAGATAGCATTTCTTTTGAAACTTACCACTTATATTGTTGGGTAACAGTTCTATAGCATTAAGGATTTATTGGCTTATACTGCCTGAAATCAGTTTCTCGTCCTACTGTTAGTGAGGAACTTGTTTTCATTTCAAACTACAGTGTAGCTGAGTTAGTTTGTGAAAATATTGACACAGTAAGACACAATGGCAGTGTTTCCTGGGCTGTATCCATCATTTGTTCCTATGTATCTCTTGCTTCCATGATACTATATCCCAGTGCTTAATTTTTCTTAACCCTTTGATAATAAAAGAAATTAACACAATTTTAGATCAACTTGGGGGACAGGAGAGCATACTGTAGCATAGCCTTTAATTTTCCTACACAATACTTGTTTTTTATTATGTTTCTACCATTATCCTTAGTGTCCTATATTTCTCACTTTCTAATCTAGTATGGGCTCTCACATTATGTTATTTAACATCCAGTTTTTGTGTTGTAACAGCAGTGAGCTATTGCCTCGTTCTGTTACTTGTTGCTTCTGCCAGTACATTCGATAGACTCTCAAGAGTGCCATAATCCTAAAATACAGTACGGCTTTTTATCCTGAAGCAACAAAAGCAACACATTTGTCATAAATAATAGCCTAATATCAACAATAATTATACTATGCGTCTTGCTGGTGTTCATCAAAATGCTTTATAAACATGGCTTTATGTTTTAGATCACCACTATTTCTTTCCTTGCTATTCATGTATTCACATGGCTTTATCAACGAGAGATATATTATTGCTAGGAAAGATAAAATTCTATACTCAGTGGAATTACAAAAAAGATACATGCTGAAGCAAAAATAATTTCCAGTACAGTTTGTCCCATCATAGTGTGAATCACATAGGCTCCAGTTTATCCTGATGAAACTGAAGCAAGAAAAAGATTTTAGAAATCATACATGCTTTCAAACAATGTATGCGAGTATGATATTAAAAAAGTTGGACAAGCAGTATGGGGGAGGGTTGGCTTGAGTTGTATGTTTGAGTGTTTTTATGGTAATGCAAGAGAATTTTTTTTTCCTCAAAAGATAAAGCAGTATCTGAATTCTAGCTAGCTGCAGGAAGCTTATGATTTTAAGCAAAAAACTGTTT